GATGGCGCTGTGGACCAGCCGAGCGGGATGAGAAAAAAAAATACATCCATCCATTTTCCGATCCGCTTTACCCTCACCAGGGTCGCGGGGCGTGCTGAAGCCTATCCCAGCCGTCTTTGGCTGGGGGACACCCTGAACTGAATGCCCGCCAGTTTTTTTTTTTCCTGTCGACAACACCATTTTGGCACCAGATGAGGAGTGAAGAGCAGTACCCAGACAGAATTTTATCAGCACACGCTGTGTATATCAATCCTTATGCTGTGATAGGATTTTATTTACCCAGAGCTGGGTAATGGATGCTCGGAAAAAATCGATGCTTAGTTTAGGATCACATGTCTGCTTTTTTTTTGGGGGGGGGGGTGATATTTTTAAAAAAAACAAAAAAAACAAACAAGAACCAAGTGCTGCCCCTACAGCATTTCATTTCACTTAAAATAGTCGACAAACTGCCCAGCTCAAAAGAAGCAAAAGATGACGTTTCCATTCAAACTTTTTTTTTAATTTCCCTCACAATGAAAACACAAAAATAAGGAGAAAAAAAAAAGATCTTCCCAGAAAAACAAACTGTTCAGTTGCTGCAATGAGGCAGCACGTGAACCAATTTCCCCCCCCCAACTCTGTTGTACAAAGTAACAAATGGCGATAAAATAGACAATTACTTACACATCTGATTGCATTCCAAAATACATTTGTGCAATTTAAAAGCAATGCAATTAACTCCCCGAATCGTAATGGAATGGAAATTATGTTGCAGGACTGTAATTTAATTAAAATAATGCATAAAAGTGCCACCAGGGGTCAGCAAGGAATTTCCCTGTTCAAAAGTGCACAGTATGCCGAAGCACTCTCCCCCCTGCCCCTCCAACTTCAACATTATCATGACATTCGGGTTGAATTCAGAAACTCTCAATGTTTCATCATCTGTGCCACCGTTTAGCCTCACACAGTTACAAAGTGGAAGGCAAGTTGTCAAAGGCAACATCGGGCAGCCAATTAATCTTGGTTTAAGGAAGAAAAATGTTCCACTTTGCAAGAGTCTATTAATTACCTCCTAACAAGGGCTACTCTGCGCCGCCTAATGTACTGCGCCTAATGAAAATGGAACTGATTCATCGCAACACCCTGAATCCACACTGCGTCTTTTGTGATCGCTATCGTACTGTGTAAAGTGGAACACGGAGCTGTGTTATAATAATCCTCGTGTTTTGCATTTGTCATAATTAAGACGCAG